TATGATAATTAATTAATACATGATATATTAAATATCATGTGTATCTTTTATTATATTATATAAGATATATTTAAAATATCTTATATCTTATATCATAATATATATGTAGTATTTAAAAAAAATGTTTACATATTTATATTTATATTTATATTAAATATTTTAGAAATATTTACCTTCTCGTTGTTACCGAGTTGACTGTTAACAGCCGTCGAAGATTTGATAGGTGTGCCATGAGCATTCCCATTCCCTTGATTCAATCTCGGGGATGCATTCGAATGACGATTCGTCGAATTTGCATTTGATTTTAGTAACGGACTGGAACTTGAATCGTGTTCCCCACCACCTGGCGTCGTCTTGCCCGTTTCTTCGCATCCTGGTAATGGTGGTGCAGTTTGTCCTGGTGTTGGGGTGATTGGTTTACCACCCTTTATCAATTCTACTATCTCGTCAGCTTCTCTTGATAGATCACCATCCGGCCTGAACGGGTTATCCCAACCACTATCCGTACTGCAACATTCAATTCATTTATTTATTTATTTAAATATATGAAAAAAACTCGTTTATATTTTGAAAGTGGTGGTGAAAGTTTAAATTTGAAAGAAAAATAATAATTAATTTATTTAGTTATTTATAATAGCACATTTTATTTTAAATTAAATTAATTCAATGTAATTTTTACGATATATTGTGAAAAATGAAATGTTAGATTATATTAGTGTTTGTTATTTTAATATTATATAGAATTTATTTTTAGTGTTTAAATGTAATCTTTTTTAAATATCTCGAAACAAGAGATACATGACTTACACTACTTTCATAATTATGGGTGCATATTATATATATATATATATGTACCCGTATATATAAATATAAATATAATATAATTATCAATATTCTTGTCCACAAATATGTTATTAATATATAAGTCTCAAAGGGAATTATAGACGGTTAATAAATCTTATGAACAATTTATTTTGAACTAGTTGTACGTTTCGTCCCTTACTGGTGACTTCATCAGCAATTTGATCATTTACAGTTCACGCGTCCATACATATTATCTTTTTTACAGAGTACATACATTTCAATAAAACTTAACATAATACAATACAATTTGATCCTAAAACACCTTTTCTTATCACACGTAATCAAATATTGAGTAAATATTTTCTATACTTTCTGCAAATGTATTTTAATGCTTTTTATATTAAATTAAAGTGCACTCTTTTGTCTACGCGTAGAATACCATATCGAGTTATAAAT